TTTTTCCATCAGTATTCATAAATGATATTGACCTTTAATTTTTTTTGTTCTCTATGTATCAGGTTTAGGTATCAATATTAAACTTCTTCATAAAAAAATAAGTTTCTCTTTGATTTCTGTACTCTGAAATAATTTAGACAACTACTTGGGCCTATCTATTCTATAAAGTTTTGGAAGAATTACCCCTTGAAACTACCCAAACCTAGTTCTTTGTTAGGTAGTTCCCTGATAACTTCCTGTATTTCTCATATGAAATTGGCCTGTTTTAAGTTTTTTTAACTCTGCTAGGGTTAGTTTGGGAAACCATATTTGCCTAAGGAATTAAACACTTCTTCTAGATTTTCACATCTATTTGTATAGAGGGATGCAAAGTAATCTCTTAATGATTTAAAATAGTTCCTTCTGTATCATTAGACATTTCCTTCATCATTTATTTTGTGTATTTGCACTTTTCCCCTTTTCTTTGATTAACTTAGCTAGTAGTTTGTCCTTTTTGTTTATTTTCTCAGAGTTTGGATTTTGATTTATTAATTTGTATTTCTACTCACTACCTCTTTAATTTTTGTATTATTTTCAACTTCTATTTCATTGCATTGTGCGTGAGATTGTTGTTAGTACTATTGCCACATTATGGAACCTACTGATACTTTCTTTGTGCTCTAGTGTATGTGATAAAGATTCCATATGTACTTGAGAAGAAAGTATAGTCTCTCTCACAAGACTGTATTATTTAGTATATATCCAGAATATCTACTTTGTTGGTTATGTGGTTTTATATTCTTGTTTTTCATCAATTTATCCTATTATATTGAGAGTGGAGTGTTACAGTTTTCTGTTATTAGTATGCCTCTACATATTACTTTTTGTACCTTATATAAATTTTGTTTTATGCAGGTAGTTGATATGTTCTTTGTAGCAAAATTCATGACTTACATCATCACTGTGGAATGTGGCTTTAACATCACAAGGTGCCCCTCTTTGTCTTGTTCATTGCTTTTTGGCCTGAAATGTACTTTATCTGGTATCGGGATTGCAACCCTGAATTTCTTACTCTTAACGTTTGCCTAGTCCTTGCCTTATTTTTAGTCTTTTGAATCACTGTGTTTTAAGTCTTTCTCTTATTCAGCATAGAGTTGGGTTTTGCTATGTCTGCCAATTTGAATTTTTTTCTATTAAGTGCAAATATTCATGGTTAAGCTTGATCTCAGTATTTTCTTATGTTGTAGCTATGTGCATATTGTGCTGTACTTCCTGCGCTTCTCTCCAAATTTGAATGTCCTGTATCATTTTATTTATTGTCCTTACTGATTTTGTCATTGTTTTGGGAGGGTTGAGATTCCATCTACCGCTTTTCTCCAAATACATAAATGTTTCTCTCAGCATTTGTTTTATTTTTATCTATTTATTTGCTTATTTTTCAGAAGAATTTATTTATTTATTTTCAATTATTGAGATATAACTGGCACATAACATTGTATAAGGTAAGGGAATACAGTGTGTTGATTTGATGCATTTATGTATTGCAACATGATTACTGCTGTAGTGTTAGCTAACACTTCTGTCATGCCACATAATTATCATCTCTTTTTTGTGGTGAGAACAATTAGATCTAGTCTCTTTGCAACTTTGAAGTTTATAATACAGTATTATTGATTATAATTGCTTTGCTTTGTCTTGGACCTCTAGGACTTATTTATCTAATGGTTAAGTTTCTACCTTTAAACATCTTTCCAGGGCGCCTGGGTGGCTCAGTGGGTTAAGCCTCTGCCTTCGGCTCAGGTCATGATCTCAGGGTCCTGGGATCGAGCCCCGCATCGGGCTTTCTGCTCGGCAGGGAGCCTGCTTCTGCCTCTCTCTCTCTCTCTGCCTGCCTCTCTGCCTACTTGTGAGCTCTCTCTCTGTTAAATAAATGAAAAATTAATCTTTTAAAAAAATAATATAAAATAAACATCTTTCCAACTCCAACACCACCCAGCTCCTGATAACCACCATTCTATTCTGTTTCTATGAGTGTAGCCTTTTTAGATTCCACATATAGGTGATATAATACAATATTATCTGCCTGGCTTATCTTACTAAGCGTAGTGATCCTTGGGATTGTCACAAATGACAGGATTTCCTTCTTTCTCATTATTGAATAATATTCCATTCTATATATATATATAGACCACATTTTCTTTATCCATTCTTCCATTGACTGATACTTAGATTATTTCCATGCCTTGGCTACTGTGCATAATGCTACAGTAAACATGAGTGTACAGATACCTCTTCAAGATCTTGTTTTCAGTTCTTTTGAATAAATACCCAGAAGTGGGATCATCAGATAATATGGTAGTTCTATTTTTAATTTTTTGAGGAGTCTCCATACTATATTCATAGTGGCTGCACCATTTTATATTCCACCAACAGTGCACAAGGCTTCCAATTCTCCTACATCCTTCTCAGCTCTGGTTATTTTCTGTTTCTGTTTGTCTGTTTTATAATGGCCATTCTACCATGTGTGAGGTGATATCTCATTGTGGTTTTCATTTGCATTTCTTGATGGTTAGTGATATTGAACATCTTTTCATGTACTTGTTGGCCATTTGGATGTCTTCTTTGGAGTAATATCTGTCTAGTTCTTCTGTCCATTTTTTAAATTAATGAGTTGTGTGAGTTCTTTATACTTTTTAGATGTAACCCCTTATCTGATATATAGTTTGCAAATATTTTGTCTTATTCCACAGGTTGACTTTTCATTTTGTTGATTGTTTCTTTTGACATGCAAAACTTTTTCATTTGATGTAGTCCCATGTTTCATTTTAACTTTTGTTGCTTGTGCTCTGGGTGTCATATAAAAAAAATTATTGCTGAGAATAATGTTATCCTAAATGTTATCCCCATATTTTCTTCTAGGAGTTTTATGCTTGAGTCTTTAATCCATTTTGAGTTAATTATTGTGAGTGGTGTAAGATAGTGGTCCAATTTGATTTTTTTGCATGTGGTTATCTAGTTTTCTCAACACCATTTGTTGAAGAAGCTATCCTTTCCCCAGTGAGTATTCTTGGCTCCCTTGCCAAATATTGACTGTGTATGTGGGGGTTTATTTCTAGGCAAAAAATATATTTGAGAGAGATAGAGTGTACAAAGGGAGAGGCAGTCTCCCCACTGAACAGGGAGCCCAATGTGGGGCTCGATCCCAGGACCCTGAGATCATGACCTGAGCCAGAGGTAGATGCTTAACTGACTGAGCCATCCACATGCCTCTGAACATATATTTTAAATAAGACATTTAGTCCTTGAGATTGAGAGAACTAGGTACTAGAGGATGCCTACCAAGTGCTGTAAGGCATGAAATAGTTGACTTATAGGTAGGTCAGCAGATTCTCCAGAGATCTCTTCCAGGCACTAATTCACCTAGTCTAGTTCCAGTGAGCACTTTTTGCTAATGTGCTGAGATCTCCAAATGGATTGTATGTCATAAAACTGGTTCTAACATATATCATTCAGAATGGGGACTCTTATTTCCCCCTCATCAATTTTTTAGACAAACGTAAAACAAAGATAGAAAATAGAGTTTTACAGAAGAGATCTCATTTGAATTGGCTTTTATAATAAATATTAAAATGTTGCTTTTTTTCTGTTAAAATATGTATCAGGTGAAGATAACAGTATCGGAACTACACATCTGAAAAAGATCAGAAGCTATTTGTCTAGGGGACTATTGATATAACTTTCAGAGTCTTCCATCCTGCAGTGACTTGACTTTGAAGGGGATTGTCTTTAAATTTAACTTATTAGTAGACGTTGGTTAGTAATAATAATAGCAGCTCAGAATTATTAAGCACCTATTATATCCCTCGCACTATGCTCAGGGAGCATTTTACAGGTGAAGTTGTATTTAAACCTCACAACAATTTATTTGTATCCTCACTACTTGACAGATAGGAATACTGCTTAGATGGGTTAATATACTTGCCCCATGGTTAAAAAGTTAATAATGAATTAGCCAGGATTTTATCCCAAGTTGTCTGTCTCCATACTCCAGAGTGTTTAACTCCAGGCATGTTTTCTGCCTGACTAGGATGATGAGGAACTTAGGCATATTTCCTTCCCAAAACAGAAATGGGGAGTTAATGTTTGCTGCCCTCCTACTGAAGTACTTGCTTTCTTGTCCTGTAGGGGAAGATTACTTCATTACTCTTATTACAACTCTCATGTGGGGAAATCCTCTTTTATTTTTTGTTTTCTGAGTGGCACACTACCGCTCTCAATACATATACTTTGCAGTGGGAAAACTTGGGAGCAGGAGAAGGAAGTTAGGAAAAATCAATTTCTGGGGAATAAGTTGCCTTTTAGCTATATGCCTAATTAAGAGAAATTTGCTAAATCTTGAGCAACATGTTTTATTATATTTTTTATTATTTATATCAGCAAATAACAAATTACTCATTTAGTGAGCAAGGCTAAATAAAATTGAGAAGATCTGAGCCAAAATATGGTAAAAATAATGAAATGTAATGTTAATTAAAAATGTGAAGTTTCATCGCTTCTAGGTCTTTTGGCTAAGATCAAGTGTAAAAATGCAAAGTTTCAGGGGTGCCTTGGTAGCTCATTTGGTTAGGCCCCTGACTCTTGATGTCCACTCAAGTCATGATCTTGGGGTTGTGGGATCAAGCCCCATGTTGTAGGGCTCTGCATTTAGCCAGGAATCTGCTTGTGCCTCTCCCCTCTGGCGCTCCTTCCCAGCACCACCCCCTCAACTCCTCCGCATACATGCACGCACTTGTGCTCGCGCGCTCGCTTGCTCTCTCTCTCTCTCTCTCTCTCAAATAAGTAAGATCTTTTTTAGGAAATGTGAAGTTTCAAATTGCTTACAAAAATGATTAGGATAAGTATAGCCCATTTGAGAGATTTCAGAAACAATAAATTCTATAAATGACACTAGAATTGGTGCTTCTAAACTCATGTACATTGTGTTTGTCGTACTGACACGGCCCTGCTTTGTTTCACTGCAGCCTCTTCCTTCGTCCTACCGCTGCTGAGTCCGACAAGTATCTTTGAGCGTCTGTTCAGCATACTTCTTTCCTCCATGTCAGCCTACCTGCTGCTAAGCACAGGGTATGAACTGTTTTTAAAATTTAATTTTTAGTAGCAAGCTTTAAATGATCTTGACATTTCTCTTTGAATATTTTACCCCTGGAGATGAAAAATGTATAAATCTTGGGGAATAAATTATACATATTTTCTGCTTCATAAGAACTATATATAAGTTGATCGTAAATCTTCTGCTTTCTTTTTCATATGTTCATAGTATTGCCTGTTGTCTTTGTCTTTCTGTTCATTTCCTGAAGATGCTAAAATGTCATTTCACTACCATGTTAAAAGTTCTGATTGATTATGGAGAAATTTGAAGTCTCAAACAATGAGTTAGGAGAGCCGTAGCATTGTTACATTCCTTTCCTGCACTTCAAATTATACCTTGATTTGTTCATTCTTATTTGAATATACCTTTTATTTTTACTCTTACATATATTTGGTCCAAATATTCTTTAGATTCAGAAACTTTCAGAATATTTTCCCAGAACTTAAAGAATCCCTTTTTATTTAAGATTTAAATTTTCTTGCAAAACAAAAACTAGCAGCTTGCTTTGGGGTAGATCCTGAAGGGATCTCTAGAAGTCAGTGAAGCAGTGATACAATCTCCCCACCTGCTTTGAAGAAAAGCATTCTTTACTTTGAATTTTATTTCATCCTTATTTAAATGCTTATGAGGTAAGAAATGTGTACATTTTAACAACATTGTATAGAACAGACAAATCAGATTACCACCACTCAAAGATAGCTCAAAATTTGGCCCAAATAAAGGATCTTAATCCCAACTAGACTAAACCTGGGAATTGACTATTGTGCTATCAACAGATTATTCCCAGCTTAGATAATTTTATAAAGACATTTTGGGTCCAAGACTTGGGTTCATTCTTTGAGAAACTTAGTTGGCCTAATTTAGAATTAGAGGGTTGTTCTAAAAAATCTTTTCATAATAGGCCGTAACATCCTAAGTGAACTAGGCCCCAGGAGTTCTTGTCCTCAGATAAGAGATGGTCCAGTAGGGTACAAAACCTTCTCCTACCAAAGCTCCCCACACCTCCTGCCTTGTTTTCTCCCTGCATAACCAGATCTGACGCACAGATGCAGATGTGAAGATGTAATGGAACATGGAAACATGGAAAGCAACATGGAAATTTTCACCAGTTACCTAATAAGATTTTAAGAGGGGCTTGGTTTGAGACTTAGAATTTTGAACTTTCAAATAAAACTTGAAGTCTATCAGCATATTCTTACTCAAGAGTGATAAACATAATGAGGCTTTTAAACTGTTCACTCTTGGGGCGCCTGCATGGCTCAGTTGGTTACGTGTCCAACTCTTGACCTCGGCCCATGTCTTAATCTGAGGGTTGTGAGTTCAAGCCCTGTGTTGGGTTCCATGAAACCTACTTAAAAACAAAAACAAAACTGTTCACTCTTTCCCCCTTTATTGGTGAAATTTCAGGATAAATAATTTACAATCAGAATCCATCAAACTATATGTGAATTAGTTTTCAGTCTAGATGAGAAGGCAAAAGATAAAATAATTTCTATTGTAACTCACCATTTTGGGGTGACGTGAGTTTCTTTAAGATATCTTACCTAGAGGCCAAATTCTACAGTCACTTAATAATCAGTAAGCCCTTTTCTTTCTTGAGCCTTTACATTCTAAAGCAGCAAACAAATTTGAAGGAATGTGTAGAAGATTTAAGAAATACAAATCTAGGAATGGATCTGGTTTCCTGGATTAGAAAGGAAGGAAGGAAAGAAGAACAAATGATTAAAGTTGAATTTTGAGTGAAAAAATATTTCGGAATGTATAATGAGTTAGTCATATAACTTACCTTGGGGACAAATATGATAGTATTTTAAATCAACGGTTTCATAGTCATAAAGATACCAAAACATATTATCAGAAGTACACTTAATTTATTTTAAGAAAATCTGAAAGGAAAAATTCATGTATAAAAACAACAGTAATGATGAGTATAACCTTATTAGTGAATGTATTAAGAAATATTATTATTCAACATCAGAAAGTGTATTTACCTTTGCAGAAAAATGCAACAGAGATAGCCTGAAACAGCACAGTCTAACATTTTCAATTAGCACAGTTTTCAATTTCAAATCAGTTTTGCAAAACTTATAGCCCACCTGATTGTTCTACATAACTATTTTGGACAATCCGGAGGATTCTCTATGTAAATTAGTGAATAGTCAGATATATAAGATATTGAAAGAAATGCAGTTTTATTACTTTACAGAAAATACAGTAATAGAAATCCTAAATTCTAACAATGTATCCTTGATTTAATGAATAAAGAAGATTCATTTTAATCAGCATTTCATTATTTTTATGCAAATGGAGGCTATTGAAATGCTTGAAAGTAGTTCTCTTAAGTTTGTTAAACATTTCTTGCCAAAATTGTATTTATATTATCCCTTTGCTTAACAAACTATGATACAAAGCTAAATGCCTTTTCTGCCCTGCTGAATTTGCACAGAGACCAAACTAGGAGATACTAATTTTGTAAGGTTTTACTATGTACACTGTGAACCTGTGATGACATTTTATTGGTATTTCAGTTTATTAATTCAAATATGCAGACTTTATTCAAGATATTGTCTAAAGAAATAGAGTCCCATAGGAAGATTGTCTTTATCACATTTATTCATCCACATTTTAACAAATGAAAATGATTATAGTTTATAGTTTCTGAAAGGAAACAAATCCGTAGCACCATTTGTAGAACTATGAAATTTGTGTTTTCATATATTAGGAAAGAATTTTTTCGTATATAATTGCAATTATTTTTAAAAATCTTGGTCCTCTTTTGCTTAGAGTACACACCTTCTTCATTCAATTAATCAACAGTTGTTTTTTCTTTCCCATCTCCAGTGTCCTGAACACTAGACTGATAAAAAGGCAGCACAATTAGCTTACCCCAGGTGTCTAATAGAGTTGTAGGCTGCTATAAAGTAAGGACTTTATTTTACAGTGTTAGGCACTCACAGAATGCAATAGTTAAGTTATTGTGACTTAATTAGGCTGGGAATTGTAAGATATAAAGAATGGCTAGGGAAAGAATTTGAGGAGGGCAGCTGAATTTGTGTCATCAGGGACTCCTGTGGAAGTTGAACTAAATTTTAAAGAATGGCTAAGATACAGGTATTCTACATCAACATTTGTTTTTCAATTATTTTTTTAAAACCATTATAAACATAGTATTGATCGCATTTTGGAAAGTATGGATAAAGGGGAAAATCATCTATTAACCCTACGTATCCCGCTGATATTCTGATATTTTTCTTGCTGCTGATATTCTGATTTATTTCTTCCAGTCTTACCACTGTTTGTCTTTTTAACATAGTATTAATCATAGTCCATGTACTTACTATTTTATCTTTTTTTTTCTACATAATATTATTTTAAGATTTATTCATCTCTTTATTTGAGAGAGAGAGAGAGTGAGGGGGGCAGGGGCAGCAGGAAAGGGAGAGAGTCATAAGCAGACTGCACACTGAACACAGAGCCCAACTTCACAACCCTGAGATCACGACCTGAGCCAAATCAGGAGTCGGATGCTTCACCAACTATGCTACCCAGATGTACCATACCTAACATTATTTTAGAAGCATTGTCCCAGGTGGCTCATGGGCTTCCTAACCATCATTTTAATAGATATTTAATATTCTGTGATGTGGATGAACCTTAATTTATTTAGCCATTCCTCTATTTTTGGTCATTTTATTTATTTACATTTTTATTATAATATTTTGAGTTATGTTTTTGTGCCAAGCTTTCTATATAGTTTCTATTACTTCCTTTGTTCATTTCTCACATGTAGTATAGGTGGTCATAGAGTATGAATTTATTTTTATTTATTTTTTTTACTTCTTCAGAAGTAAAAAAATTAAAAAAAAAATTTTTTTTTTTACTGTCTTCAGAACAGTGCCAGTTTATAATATCACCAGCAACTGATGAGCGATCCTATCCCTCACAGTATTTAGTATTTTCATTTTTAAATAAGAACATCAGTGGCTATTTTAATAGGTCAAAAATGGTACAGCTTTGTATACATTTTCTGCATCTGTTTGACTAATGATACTTTCTCATGTATATATTGTCTGTTCATATATTTGGGTATTCTCCATTTTATATACCAGGTGATTTTTGTATGCTTTCTGAATCCAAATACTTCCTTCTCCCTGGTCTTCAGTTTTTATTTTTATGATCAGTGATATAATTTAAAGCATTTTGCTTCTCTTGTCGTCTCATGTTTGGGAAGTAGCACCGAATGGAACAGAGTTCAATTGGTGAAATAGTTGAGGAACGCCTGGCTGGCTCAGTAGGTTAAGCATCTGCCTTCGCTCTGGTCATGATCCCAGAGTCCTGGGATCAACTCCTGCATCTGGCTACTTGCTGGGCAGGGAGCCTACAGCTCCCTCTGCTTGTGCTCTGTCTCTGTTTCTCTCTCTCTCAAATAAATAAATAAAATCTTAAAAAAAAGGTGAAAAAGTTGAGAGAAATAAAGTTGTTTTGGTTTGGTTTGGTTTGGTTAGTTTGATTTTGTTTAGTAACTCCCGCTTAAGTAACTGACTCAGCGAATACTTACTAGCTGGGCCTGCAGTGGTGACAAGACTGACACAGTCAGAGCCTTTCCAGACTGACAAGAAAGGCGTGTCAGTGAACATGTGATTAAAATGGTGGTTGAAGAACTGTAACAGGGTATTTGAGGGATAACAAAGGTGACACATTTATCCCTAGGTAGGCTGGAAGAGGATTAGAAAAGACTTCTGTCACTGTCTTATCTCATGAACATTTCTCCTTTGTCCATATTATAATCACCATTAAACTAGCCAAGAGATGTACCATACGTTATTTAATCACTCCCCAGCTTGTTTCCTGTCTTTGTTTTTGTTTTTCCCTTCTGTAGACAGTATTACAACAAACATCTCCATATGAGAATTCTAGTGCCCATAGTGGATTATCGTCTCAGGGTAAAATTCCTAGAAGTGACATCACTGGATTATGTTATATGATTATTTTTGAGATTCTTGATGTAGAGTGTCGGATTGCCTTCCAGAAATTGTTTATTCCTATATAGAGAGTATGAGAGTTAGTTTTCATTATACTCTTGTTGACATTATTTTTATTTACTAGATAAATGTGATAAGTGAATGTGTTATCTTTCTATTGTTTTAGTTTCCATATCAGTTATCAGTAAGGTCAAACATATTTTCATGTGTTTATTGGTTCTTTTTTTTTCTTTCTTAGAGATTTAGGTCCATATTACACCCCCCCCTTTTTTTTTTTTAATTTGGAACATTGGTCTTGCTCTTCTGGGTATATTAATGATTTTAACTCAGGCATTGTCTTTTTACCTTCATCTTAATGTTTTCTTTCCTTTTTTGTGTATTTACCTTATGAGTGATTTCTAAATATCTCAACTATTTTTAAAAATTAAAATGATCTCAAGATTTAATAAATTTCAAAAAAAGATGGGTTGGAGTTGATATAAAATGTTCCTTTCCTTTCCCACTTTCTTCTTCTGGAGAGCCTAGAAAATTTAAACTTTGTGATATTGTGACTTTGAAGTATTATCAAGGTTGTTTTAATTTTGCATAAATTTGCATTTTTACTTGTTTAATGTTTTTTCCTTTTTTTTTTTCCACCTCCCACTGCCACCCCAAATCCCCTTGTCCCTTAGGTATGAAGCTCTCTTTCCATTAGTATTGTCATGCTTAATGTTTGTGTGGATACAGGTGGAACAAGAAACCCTGCGGCAACCCAGTGTTTCCTATAAACAGAAGGTAGCTTGTCAAAATCATTGTTGCGTTTATTTGAGAATATTAAAATATTCTCTATTCTGTACAAAAGTTGCAGTGTTATTTCATCAAAAACTGTGCACCATTTAAGACAGTCATAATTAATGATTAATAATCAAGTTAAGCAGTTTATAAGAAAATTGTTCATTTACAATAGGAAAGCATGATTTTATACTTTTATAGGCATTAAATAGGTTGGGTTATTCTTAGAGATTATTTGAGAATCCCTGATGTACAAAAACGTCAATGTAGATGAAGGAGTGGAGGAGAAAGAATGCTCTTTATCGTATTTTCCTCTGTTTTCATATCTCATTTTTCTTTCTCTCAATTTATTGTAGCCACAAGAATATTTATGTTGTCACAAGTCAGTGCATGAATTTGATCATTAGACGACATTTGTATTTGCAGTGTTGTTTTTCTCTTTCTAGTGGTCCTACTCCAAATTGTTTTTTCTGCCACCCTAGTGATCATGGCCTCAGTCCAAATCTTAGGCTGTTTATTCAACACAGTACACTTTGAATTGGCTAAAAGCCAGCTAAATTTTAAGGACACATTTATCATACTGAGCTATGGAGTTAAATTGATGTCTCTTGCCTTTATTTTAGAGCTGAAGGTAATTATAAACCATTGGTGGTAGAATATTTACAGTTTTACTGCGGTCAGATAAAATGAATATTGCAGAAAAACACCTTCATAGTTGGTCCATTGATCCGTCCATAACCGGTTCCAGTTGAGCTTACAGAGTAATTGGTCATTTAAAATAATTAATTTCAATAATGAGAAAACTGTATTGAAGTATATTAAATAATTACTGGTTTTTAACATTAAGCCCCAGAATATTAAAAACAGTACATGAAAACAGTTTTGTTCAGATTCTAGTAAATGGTCAGACTGTCCTTAATAGTAAATATTAAATATTTTAGTATTAAATAAATACTAAATCTAAAAATGTGATTCATTGTCATTTTTTAAATTCTGGTTTTTTAACAGAAAGCAGGTATTTCTTTTTATAGAAAGGAGTATTAAAGCATCCAAAGAACTTAGTGGAAAAATTACATAGATTGTGGAGGAGGGGAAAGTTTCCCCATGAGTTTTTCTGTTTGTGGGAGAAGGGGATTAATCAAATTGAGTGACTGAAATTGAATGGCTCAGTCGTTGGACATCTGCCTTCAGCTCAGGTCATGATCCCAGGGTCCTGGGATCAAGCCCAGCTTCAGGCTCCCTGCTCAGTGGGAAGCCTGCTTCTCCCTCTCCCACTCCCCCACCTTGTGTTCCCTCTGTCACTGTGTCTCTCTCTGTTAAATAATAAATAAAATATTTTTTTAAAAATTGAGTGACTTTCTATTTTACCAAAAATAGGAATATTTTGCATTTGTATATAGAGAAAATAACTAACAGAAGAACAAAGATACAAATATTTGATTTTATCAGGTTTTTTTAATATGATACTGTAGCTGGGTTTTAGAGTATCAGGACACTGAGAAATCAGGACTTAAAGAGTACTATAGGGATTTAAAACTGAAGCATTTATACAGGATAAGGAAAAGCCCGATTCTCCCTTTTATTACATGTTCAGCAATACTACAGCTCTGTTTTAGCATATTATTAGCAATGTATTCTAACTCTTAGCAGATTGTATTAAGATGTAATTAAACTGGGGCTCCTGGGTGGCTCAGTGGGTTGAGGCCTCTGCCTTCGGCTCAGGCCTTGATGGTCCCAGGGTCCTGGGATCGAGCCCCGCATCAGGCTCTCTGCTCAGCAGGGAGCCTGCTTCACTTCCTTTCTCTCTGCCTGCCTCTCTGCCTACTTGTGATCTCTGTCTGTCAAATAAATAAATAAATAAATAAAATCTTTAAAAAAAAAAAAGATGTAATTAAACTATAGGAACAGCTTTATTGTTGATTAATTTTGTCAGTGCAGGATAACTTTCCAGCTATTATACCAGACTGGAAGTTTGCCTTTGAGGGTAGGAGTAAGCGAACTGTCCTTGTGTGCTCATGTATTTCTTACTGTCTCACAGGTCACCAGTCTCCAGTTCACCTGTAGTCCTGATATTACCCAGTTTCGACAGCTCTATCTGGATGACGTCCGCAGGGCCTTTTTCCTTGTATCCTTTGTTTGGACTTCTAAGGTGCTGTAACCTGCCATGTAGTGGATGGAGTAAGGCGGTACTTCCGCTGCTCACGCCCACTTGGGGGCCATTTAACTCCCTCTCAGCCATAATTTTCTCATACAATCCATATCTTTAAAAAATGTTGAAACTGTAGAAAAGCATGCAGAATGATATAACAAGCAAATGTACATGTGTATATTCCCGCCATCTAAGAGATCAACAATTACTATTTTGTCACACGTGTCACACATTTTTTAAAAATTAAAACATTACCGCTAAAGCTAAAGTTTTGTTTTTTTTTTTCAATTCCGGACTCCACTCTAATTTCCCTCATCCGGATGAAACCACTATAATGAGTTTGGTTTATACTTTCTATGTGTGTTTTATACTGTGTTCATGTTCTATGGCATCTGCTTCACAAGGTTTTTGAATCACATCAGAGGCAACATTGCATGAAAATTGTTAGTGTTAGAAGTTTGAAAGACAGTACGGCAGAATAAAGTCACATTTGGGAAGGCTGGCTGACTGGCTTCAAGAAATTTGGAGGGAGGTATTATTTCCTTTGACCTTACCGTGGTGCTGTCCTTCTTCCTCTTGCTTTTGTCCTTGGTTTTGCTTGCTCTCTTTGCAGACTTCTTGCACTCACCCTCGACCAATCGACGCTTCTTCCCTTGTACCTTCCCTTGAACCCTGCCTCCCCCTGAAGTATAATTTCATTTTGTCTTTGTTTACTACCAAGCTCCTTAAAAGAAAAATCTGTAGTTGCTGCTACCATTTCCTCTTCGCTTATGTACTGTATCTCCAAGCCTTGAGCAGTGCCTGGCACACTAGTTCTGTGAATACATGCACCTGGCCCTGCCGAGCCTGTGCCATCAGTACCTGCGGAGGGGCTCCCTGACGGCACAGTCCGGGCTTCGATTTCACTTGACTTCTTACAACATTCAATTCTGTTGACTTCTCTTCCTTTTCCGTTTCCCTCCAGGACATGATCCAGGTTCTCCTCTTAGCTTTTATATCATCTCTCTTCTCCTTCACAAAAGCATACTCTTTCTTTGTCTTATCTTGAAAGATGTTCTTCTCCAAGCTCTACCCTTAACCTTCTCCCCTTACCCTACCTAGATGCTGTCACCGTCTCCTACAGCTTTGACTGACACCTCCGTGCAGACAACTCTGAGATTTACTTCTCCAGCCTTGACCTCTCTTGACCTCATGAGCCATATGTCTAATAACCTGCTGGGCATCAACAAATGTATGTCCCAAAGTGACTTACAACCACCACCCCTCTCCAAAGTCTTTCTAACAGGCCTCATCTTATTGAATGGTGTTACCATATTCCCAGTCACCCAGGCCATCAAGCTTGTCATATTTAACTACTTCTTATCCAGTTCTAAGGTCCCATTGTCTCCCCTCCTTCTCCATCTCTGCTCCCACTGCATGAGTTCAGACCTTCCTTGCCCCTGACATGAACTACTGAAATAGCTTTCCAGTTGTGTTTCCTGCCTGTAATTACTTATCTCCCTGATTTGAATATCTCACTGTCACTTGTGTTTCTTGTATTGGTCATCTAAAGTGTTTCTGGCTTTTCGTTGTCTCCACAGTAAAATTCAAGGCTTTTTATTGATATGCCACCAATCTGTGTTCCTGCTTTATCTTCCATTGTATCTTTCAGTAAACCCTAAGCTTCTATCATACCTCTCAATGTTTCTTGACTACTTCTTTTATTTTCCCCGTTTACCTTAAAATGCCTCTCACATACTTCTCTATATCCTCATAATCCTACTCACTGTGTGAGCACTTTGAGACTATTTTATTCATATTTATGTTTTTAGTGTCTAATTTTGCCTCTGACATATACTAGACAATAAAGGTTGGTTGGTTGGTTGGTTAGTTGATTGGTTGAGTGACTAGATCCTTGGATACATGTGAGGTTCAAGTCACCAACTCAAATGCCACCTTTTCACTGAAAGTTGTCATAATTCATACATCCTCATCAGTGTTTCTTTACCACTTTTGTGTATATGTCTCTAATAATAAAATAGCTGACATTTATTGAGTCCTGTCAACGGGCCGGGCAGTATTTTCTAGTGCTTTCCTAGCAGTTAGTTCTTAAGACACCAACAGGATTGATATTTACCTTTTACTGCTGCACTCAAACAAATGCAAGATTAAAAAGTGTCCAAAAGATGTCTAACATTTTCTCGTGTCTCATTCTCCATTGAATTATTTGAGAATGTGGTCTCTTATTTTTCTCTGAGCCTTCCAAAGAACTAGCAGTTTCACATGTGTTGGGCACACAGCAAGTATGTATGAGCTGAAACAATATTTCTCCTAAAAATATCTATCTCATGCACTAGGTCCCTGTTCTTGTGAGAAAAGCACCAGTGGCCAGCTCCAGATACAATACTCTGATTTGCTTTTGCTAGAGAAGAGGAAAATGCCCTCCCAAAGACACTAGTGACAAGGATAACCTCTCACGCCTCCGGGTCTTAGCACATTTCCTCTTCAGTCTGGTTCTTTCAAAATGCGTTCACAAGGAGGTATAATGGAACATTCACTGGCGACAGTTTATGCCCATATGTACAGGGTAAAAATCAAGTTACCCTCATGGTAGAATAGAAATACCTTTTCTAAATGAAGGAGAAATTTGTATAAATTCTGACTTGTTTCGGCAATTCCTTAACTGTATTTAGGTTTTCTTCTTAGTGACAGCATTTTTTGGAACTGGGAACATAGCTTCTATTAACAGGTAATTTTAAATGAAAAGAGCGTATTTATAATGAAAGATAATACAAGTTAGGATTTTGTTCTGTACCGTGGTTTTTTATACTGAAGGGTATTTTGGAGATGGGTATGTTATTGGCGCATAGAGATCTACCTCGTTCATTTTAGTGGTTTCCTGATATTCTTGATACAACATATGCTTGTGTTTTAGTAAGAGTAGTTTCAGAAAGTTAGTTTAAACATCCTTTTTAGTAGAACATTCTTTTAAAGTTACAATGTGAATTCTAAAATCTTTTTTCTTTATGTTTGTTCCTTAGCTTTGATCTTGCCTCTGTCTATTGCTTTCTGACCGTGTTTAGTCCTTTTGTGATGGGAGCCCTGATGATGTGGAAGGTTAGTTTTCTTATTTTCCTGTTTTCTTAAGATATTGATTATCAATTCATCGTGACATTAAGATTATGTAACATTATATGACTTTAAGACTATGAAGTCATTGTGACAGAGTGAAATAGCATAGAAAGAAGATACCTTCGCAGACGATGCTGAATCAGAGTTGGGACCCTTTAGCTTTTACTCCAAAATACAGTTAACCTTTTTGCTTTATCCTTAAGCCCATTTAAATTCCAGAGTACAGATTCTGTGTAACTCGTGGGAAGTCCTATCACAGACGATTAAAACCCGTGGGGAAGGGCAGTGCAGATCAGAACTGCAGTGCTCCCAAAGATTCTGTATGCTCCCCACGAGACTACCCACATGTTGTGATCTTTTCTCATAATCCATGTACCTGGAATTAATTGATTGACTCCACAAATCCGTCACTGAGTGCTTACATTCAGTAATGCAGCAGGCACCAGCTGGGTGCTGACCACACCAAGATAATGACAAATTCCTCAGCTTTGGAGGTTCAGACTCCTGTGGGATGTAATTCACGTTCTTCCCTTTCTTCTGTCTCATTCCCTCTGCCACAGTGCCTGGCACATTTTATGGAATTGGTATATATCTGGCTGAAATCTAATTACCTTCTGTCAGATCACATAAGTACTAATTGTTAAAAGTATGCTTCTCTTAATTGGATTACTCTCCTTTTTTATTACTGCATTAATAATGAATAAATATGGGACTATAATTGAACTAGGATCTTTAAAGAGATAATTAAGGTAAAATTAAGGTTACCAAATGTAACCTTAGGAAATGTTAAAAAGATGTTTTTCTCATGTTCCAATTTCTATTGCGTTATATTATTTTTTTATATTTACCTGTTGAGTTATTTTAAAACATGCATTATTTCTTGAACTTTCATTTATGTTTTTAAATGATAGTTGCTCTTTTCTTACATTACTGGAGGCCATCGGCCTTTCATTAAAAATAAGAAAAAAGTAAAGAAAAACAAAAGTTTAAAGTAGAATATTAGATCTTTATTCTCCAGCCTCATTCAGAGCTTTCCTGAAATAATGCACTGGATGGCTCTTTTTGACTAATGTGGCCAGAAGTGAAGGTTCTCCCAAACTATTTTAGTCTATGTCCTTCACTTGAAGGAATCTTACACAGTGCTGAACACCATTTCTTTTCCATATTTTTTCTTTTTTATTATACATCAAGTATATATATATATTTTTTTAATTGGTTATTAAAAGCAGTATCTCATAATATTAACAGCATTAGCTCTAGATTATGGGTTTTCAACCAGTATAAATTATTATATACTTTTCTCAATTTTTTAACAGATACTTTACAGTGAATATGAATTATATAATCAGAAATAAAGTTGTATTAAGATAAATGTACCAGGAGATCATGTTTATAGAGTTATAGTATCAAGTGACCAGATGGATTCAGGGATCTGTGAATCAAATTATCAAGCTCTATAATTTATCTGATTTGGGCATTTTGCGCCTCTCATACTCTCTCAGAAACATTTGAACATGGTCATTAATTATTGTGAGTTAGAACAAAAATTTGTATTTGGGTTTTATTTGGAATAAGTGTTGATATTTATCTTTCTATGCTATATACAGTATTGATATAGATTTTTAAATCCGTTTCATCAATATTCTATGTGACATCGATGTCATGGTTTTATTTCAGAGTTCACTCTTCACTAATAGAGATAAAATTCAGTTGAGAAGTTGAAATACTGCAGAAATAACATTTATTTTTAAGTTTTTCAAATGTTTCAGCTACCCATGGCATGGTTTTTTGTCCTTTTAAACAGATTTTAATCCCCTTTGTTCTTGTGATGTGTGCTTTTGAAGCAGTTCAGCTAACTACCCAGTTATCATCAAAAAGGTAAAGTGAATGTTTAAGAAGTGTTGGACTTGCCCATGTTCAGGCAGTAAGAGTAGGTATGTGATTGCTACAGTATAGTAGCAAAGGTTGTTTATTACAAAAATGAGAGAAAAATGTTGTACCCTTATAGCCAGAGTTCAGCTGTCATTAGAGGAAATTAGTTGATTAGAGCCCCAGCAGACAAATACGCTTTCTCAAGAATAAAATGTTATTAGAATATTATTCAAGCCAGTGAAGAGCTTCCCTAGAAAACAGTAAAACATAAATGTTAAATTATAGTTAATGATTTGTTTATTATAGATATAACTGTGGTTACAAAACACAAGGGATATCATTCTGTTTTCTTTTGGGTTATTTCTTAAATATGTATGAGATAAATGTACTAACATTATTTCATTTTACTTTAAGTCAGCTGTTCTACATGTCAATAATTTAAATAGCTTCTTAGTCTTATTTTTTACATATTTGACAAGTGGAATGGGAATTATTCTTTCTAAGTTTTGAGGAATTTCTGGAGCAGTCAGTCTTAAGCAATCACGACTCTCAAAGAGAAGCTATCAACTAAACTATTTGCTTTTTTTTAACTAATAAAATTGTCTCATCAGCACAGGACTGATCAGTCTCTCTGAAAGACACTTGAGATAAATGCGAAGCTTCTTTGCAACTGGCATATTCAATGCTGAAAGAAATAACTAATATTAGCATAAATTTGCATGTTCTTTTTGATGAGTTTAAGCTAGAACTCGGTTTAGCATATTATGATGCATATGCCATAATAACAAGTATAATTTTAAAAGATTTTCTTCCACTGTTTAAAAATAGTAGAAATTTCTTTCCAGTTTAATTTAGTATTTTGTAGGATATTTACATAAATTTTAACAGTGAAAACATTTATACCTTGTCAGTATCACATAAAAAATAGTTACTTAGATGCAATTAAAAACTGGTAAATGACACGTACTTTCTTGCATCTCTGTTAGTGGATACATTTTTTTTTAGCAGGGATTTTAAGGTTTAACTCAGAGGAACTGGTAACCTGGAATGAGAAGTAGAGGTGTGTTAAGGATCTGCTTTCTGCTCAGGTCATGATCTCGGGGTCCTGGGGTCGGGCTCCCTGCTCAGTGGGGAGTCTGCTTCTCCCTCTCCTTCTGCCCACCCCGCCCCCACCACTTATTTTCTCTCTCTGTCAAATAAATAAAATCTTAAAAAAAATACTTTTGAAAAAAAAATGACGCCTTTGGTTATAAATAATGAAAATCTAACCTATCCCCTCCTATCAGGGAAACAGTTTCTTTCCCAAATGCCTCATCCAACAGATTTCAGATCATGTCTGAATGAACTCTGACGAGCACACATTCATTCTAACCCGGAAGGTGATTAGAGAGCAAGAAGTAGGAGTTTGGAATGGGTGTGGGAAACAGACAACCTCAAGGGCCTGTTAGAGTTGAGAAAGGTATTTTGGGGCTGATCCACTTCACAGCTTGAGATGACCTGAACTTCCTCACCTCTAGAAAGCAACAAAGCACAGGAGAGCTGGGGAACAGCTGAGAAAGAGAAGAAGGTTTTAGGACTACAGAAGTATTTGACAATCAACCAAATAAGGAGACCTAAAAGGGATAATTTTCTGTTCTATATTTGATTACATACTCAAATATACAAGAGAGCCATGGATAAACAGTAGTGATTGAAAAAAGAATTTGGGGAGGTCAAATTGTCAGTAGTGTGATCTAGCAACCACCAAAAAGCTAGCTTCTCATGCCCTGTACTAACTGAAATGAATATAAGATGTTTTGACAATGTCATTTAAAATATACTATTCTGTTTTACTAGATGTTTTGATCTTCGGGATAGTATGCTTCCATATTTAGGAATTCAAATTTGAATCAGAATTCTATCTATATTGAATCACTTTTATTGCAAGAACATTTTCTAGTGTAAACTATATTAAGCCACCGTAATTTTTAAATTAATTTTATATGAAATGAATATTGTAAAATTTCTTAACAAAGAGGGGTGCCTGTGTTATTAAGCGTCTGCCTTTGGCTCAGGTCATGATCCCCAGGGTCCTGGGATCGAGCCCGGCTTCAGGCTCCCTGCTCAGCGGGAAGCCTGCTTCTCCTCCCACTCCCCCTGCTTGTGTTCCCCCTCTCTCTGTCACTCTCTGTCAAATAAATAAAATCTTTTAAAAAATTTCTTAACAAAGAAATTTGGGTTCATTTATTAATTTTTGTCTATCTTAAAATCTATGAATTTTAGTTTGTGCTGGTGTGATTTCTTTTGATGGTCATTATCTCCTGCAGGTCTAACTAGTTTACCTGGGTCAGAGTATAGCGGGGTTTTTGTCAAGAAGGTTTGCTTCTTCCATCATTAATTTGTCACTTATAGATTTTACCCTGGTGGTTTTAGCTTTCTCTGGTGTTATTTGGTGGTTTAGGAACAATTTTGTAGTGTTCTATGGAACCAAAAGGTAGAAGTTCTCATATGTCTATAAGAAATGTCACAATGTGTAGTAGTAGCCATTTTCATTTTTATTTTATGCTGATTATGTCTACCATTCATTTAGCATATAATGTTTTGAGTTTCTATTACAAACAGCCACTGTTCTAGCTGCTAGTAATACAGTGGTGAATAGAGCTTACCATCTACTCAGTGAGATGAATAAGAAATAAAACAGTTGCCATAAAATGTCAGATTGTGTTAAATGTCAGGAAGAAAAATAGATTGAAGGGGAGACATTTAAGCAGAGACTGAAATAAACAGAGTGTACCGTGAAACTATACGAGAAAGCACTTTCAGGTAGAGGGTGTGGAGCATACACAGGACGTGAGGTGAGACTGGGTGTAGAGTGTTCACAGAGCAGCAGGAGGGCCGCCCGTAAGCAGAGTGTGCTAGCAGAACTGTAGGAAGGACGGTTGGAGAGATAGGCAGGGGCCAGATCATAGGAGGCCATTTTGGCCATAGTTTGGACTTCGGAATTTTTCCTAGTTGTGGCAAGAAGCAATTGGAAGGTCTCAAAGACTCCGTTGTCTGTTCTATGGCTAATACCCTTAGGAGGACGAGAGTAAAAGCAGGGAAGTGGATGGAGGTGACTATTGGAGGTGAATGACCTTAGTGGGTTGGTGGAGGTGATAAGAGGCAACACTCATTATCATTTGTATAAAAACCCAGTAGCATGCATTTATTTCTTGAGTTAAGGAGTACTCATGGGATGGTCTCAAAAGATCTAGGTGCTCAGTAGCTTGAAAACAAGAGATAAAATATCAAAACTAACCAGCCTTTAATAGAAATATTATTTCCAGAACAAGGAGAGTAATAATCCCATCCTACTTTCATAGTAATTTGATCACCATAAGTGTTAAACACTGTCACATTTATACCTTCCCGTCTGAACAATATATGAATAAGCAAGGGAGATGAAGGACACATTCAGGAGGAAATGGCAAGCATGCCAAAGGCTTCCAGAGTAGACAGTGCCTTGGAGAGACAATGTGCATCATGGCTAGGAGAACAGGTTCTGAGGCCAGACTTGCTATGTTGAAATTCTGCCCTTGGGGCACCTGGGTGGCTCAGTCAGTTTAGCATCTGCCTTCAGCTCGGGTCATGGTGCTTTACCCCCAGGATCAAGCCCTGTGTCGGGCTTCCAGTTCAGCAGGGAGAGTTTTTCTCCCTCCTCCTCTGCTTCTCCCCAGCTCGTGCTCTCTCTCTCTGTCTCTCTCAAATACTGTCTCTCTCAAATAAATAAAATCTTTTTTTTTTTTTAAGATTTTATTTATTTATTTGACAGAGATCACAAGTAGGCAGAGAGGCAGGCAGAGAGAGAGAGAGGAGGAAGCGGGCTCCCTGCAGAGCAGAGAGCCCGATGTGGGGCTCAATCCCAGGACACTGGGATCATAACCTGAGCCGAAGGCAGAGGCTTTAACCCACTGAGCCACCCAGGTGCCCCTCAAATAAATAAAATCTTAAAAAAAAAAAAAGGAAAAGAAAGTTGCCCTCTCACTAGCTGCGTGACCTTGGACAACTTCTGTGTTCCTTAGTCTCCACATACTACTTCAAAATTTGCTCTGGAAAAGCTTTTTCCTTCTTGTTAATTGAGTGTTAGATCAGACATCGTATTCTCTAATGAACTTTTCTTACCCAGCTGCCATCGCCTCAAATTCCTAGCTAAAGTTAGGTAACTCATATGGTGATGGAACTATTTTTTTTTTTTTAAGATTTATTTATTTGAGAGAGAGGGAGAGAGAGAGCACACCTGCAGGGGGAAGGGGCAAAGGCAGAGGGAGAGGGAGAGAGAAACTTCAGCAGACTGCGCACTGACTGTGGAGCCTGGTGCAGGGCTCCATCTCATGACCCTGAGATCACGACCTGAGCTGAAACCAAGGTTTGGATGCTTAACTGACTGTGCCATCTAGATGCCCCATGATGAACTATTTCTTACTTTTCTATTTCACACCCTATTGTGGGCTCAGTTGTGTGCCCTCCCCCATCCCCATACCAACAAATCATATGCCGAATGAGACTATATTTGAGATAGAACCTTCAAGGAGATAATTAAGGCAAAATGAGGTCATGGTGGGCCTTAGTCCAATATAAATGGTGTCTTTATAGGAAGAGATTGGAACCTCCCCACACACACAGAGGAGAGACCATGTGAACAAAAGGGAGAACATGGCCATCTCCAAATCAAGGAAAGAAGCCTCAGAATGAGAGCACTCTGCCAACACCTTGACCTCAGACTCAGCCTCCAAAACTACAAAAGAATACATTGCTGTTCTTGAACTCCCCGGTCTGTGGTTCTTTGTTATGACAGCCCAAGCAAACTAATACACATCCTATGAACTCTGAAAGGGCAGAGATTCTATCTTTCAATGTGTCTTTAATTTTATCTAAAGTTTTTGGTACAAGGAATGAAAAAGAAACCAGTATATATTAGGCACCTACCATATGCAGGCACTGTTTTAGATACTTTACATAGATTACTTAATTTTCTTAACAGCGCTATG